TTTGCCCCCTCTTCTATAAAAAAAATATCAATTACTCTACTCCAAAGAGTCAGTTATTGCTTTATGGGGCAAAGTCGCAGAAAATATTATGTGGAACTTATCTATCAAAATGTTAAAATTTTTTATTTGACAGACAATTTAGAGGTACTAAAGAGTATGTTTATTATTGTAATTAATAATATCCTTTGGAAATGAGGTGATCACTATTCGTTACCATGCTGCTAAATGTTTCCATATGTAATTACACGATTTTTAATAAATATTCAAAAGAAATGTCCTGCTGGGTTTCTCGCTGGATCTACTACTACTACGAGCCAGTGGTAAAAGCATAAATTACTTTCAATAAATACTTCAGTTATCTATATCGAATGAAATTATTCTATTCTATTCTTAATCACAACTCCGATGCCATTTTTATTGGTAAACTAATTTTTCGAATTCCATAAAATTTTGCACAGATAATCGTACGTAGATTCATTTTTATCTCTCTAGCTATTTTCATTAAAAAAGTCGATTTTCATAACCATAAAAATTTGATTGTGTATACGAGATGTAGGGAGCTAATACTAAGACCTTGAAGTTTTTTTTTATATAATAGGCGTGACATACGAGCACACAGTCCACATGATGGTAAGTGGATGCTGTAGACCATAGAAGTTTATCTTCAATTAAGAATCAAAATGGAGATGTTACCCGTGAGGACTATGATGAAATGCTTTTTTTAACTGTAAGGAAGGTCTCCGGTTCTCTATACTTACTATACTAAACATAACAACATTAAGCTGCTATTTTACACTGGTATTCTGTGAGAGTGTGGTGATTCCCCGATCGAGCCCACACACACGTGTTACAACCATAATATAGCTGCAGCGTGGCTCTACCACAATAATAAGAAACTTTGCACTAACAATCACCTAGTTATTTTAATTTATATAAAAATTAATATTTTCGTATACGCCCAAATTTTTATGTGTACGTGTATAAAACATACACAAGTGCAACCTAATGTAGATGGCTTGTTATCTTTTTGAATACTGAGACTTGTGTATCGATAAACTGGCAAAATATGTATGAGTAATGTTTTCGAATTAAATATATATATATATATATATATATATATATATATATATATATATATGAATATATACACTGTTTGTTAAGGTTAAGATATAGGTCAGAAATCAGGGTATATGGTTCGTGATATATCGCAAGTATATATATTTACTGCGGATATCCTCATTTCTGAGTCTATCACGCAGAGAAACTCCGAGCATAGCCCTCTCCATAGCTCGCTGAGCGACCTTGAGCGTCCTCATACGGCCAGCAGTGAAGGACCACGTCTCAGATCCGTAAGTCATCACTGGCAACACGCACTGGTTGTACAATCTAGTTTTTAGAGATTGAGGTATACCTGACGAGAAGATATATCGTAATTTCCCGAACGCTGCCCAGCCGAGTTGAATCCGTCGATTGACCTCTCGGTCGAAGTTGGACTTACCTAGTTGGACTATTTGTCCCAGGTAAACGTACTCGTCAACAACTTCGAGCATAGTGCTCCCAACAACTACCGGCATAGGTGTGACATGGACATTGAACATGACCTTTGTTTTGTCCATGTTCATCTTAAGACCTATCCGTTGGGAGGCACTAGTGAGGTCATTGAGCATAGTGCTTAAGTCCTCCAGCGATTCTGCCATAAGGACTATATCGTCGGCAAATCGAAGGTGAGTGATGTACTCGCCATTGATGTCAATACCGTATCCTTTCCAGTCCAGTAGCTTGAAAACGTCTTCCAATGCAGCGGTGAAGAGTTTCGGGGATATAACGTCACCCTGTCTTACACCTCTCTGCAGTCGGATAGGTTTCGAGCTCTGGTTCTGTACTCGGATATCCATCGTAGCCCTACTGTACAAACACTTCAGCACTTCGATATACCGACAGTCAACTTGGCACCGCTGAAGGGACTGTAGCACCGCCCAAATTTCGACGGAATCAAAGGCTTTCTCATAGTCCACATACGCCAGGCAAAGTGGCAGACTGTACTCTTCAGTCTTCTGTACAATCTGCCGCAGGGTATGTATGTGGTCTATGGTACTGAAGCCTTTTCGGAAACCGGCTTGTTCGGGAGGCTGGAAGTCGTCTAGTCTGCGTGCGAGACGATTCGTAATGACTCTCGAAAACAGTACGTAGACGCGGCTCAGAAGGGAAATCGGTCTGTAGTTCTTTAAGAGAGCGTTGTCGCCTTTCTTAAAGAACAAGACCACCGCACTTCTGCTCCACGCCTCTGGAGTAGTGCCACCATAGAGGACGGAATTGAAGAGCTTCTGAAGGACTTCAAGTACCGGTTTTCCACCCGCTTTCAGAAGCTCCGCTGTAATTCCATCCTCGTCTGGGGCCCTGCCGTTTTTAAGGTGCTGGAGAGCCATTCTAATCTCGCTTAGACTGACGTCCGGGATATCATCGGAATAGTGTCGGATAAGACTTGCTCTTGGATCGTTACTCACACTTGCGTGTGGCTCCAACGATGATGTGTACAGCTGCCCATAGAACCGCTCAATCTCACTCAAAATCTCAGGTGTCCCGGAAACGATGCTGCCACACTCAGTCTTCAGCTTTGACAGTTGGCTCTTACTGGCAGACAGATCTCTGGCAAAGACTTTGGAGCCCTGGTTCCGCTCGATCGCTTCTTTAATACGAGCAGTATTAAAGTTGTGTAAGTCTCGGCGCATGCATTTGGAGATCTGTCTGTTCAGTTGCCTGTATGCTGTCAAATCTGTTGACGATTGCATCCTCATCTCCCGTCTAACAGCCATGAGATTAAGAGTGTGATCGGAGAGTTTTTGTGTTCTTCTGCGGCGGGTCTTGCAGAACTTAGCTCCGACCGCAAGGACAGTTTCCACGAGCTTGTCATTCATATCGTCCACTGAATTGCAATCTTGTAGGCACTGAAAGCTATTACGTAACTCGAGCCGAAAGTTTTCGGGATTCTGGATTAGAGCACGAGGGGGACGGAGCGTTGACTTCATTATACGAGACCTCTCCAATTTAATTTAGGTGTGGGGCGCTTTGGGAAGAGTTTTAGATGAGGCTGGTTTTTTGTTTAGTGAGTTTGGAGGATGCATGTTGTTTTTGGTCGTGACCTTCAGCGAATACCGTTTGGTGATTCTGAGTATCAGGTACTCGACCCTCGTCGACACACTCCCAATCTTTACAACGTTGTTGACGAGAGACTTGTGGACAATAAATCCGACACCTCCTTGGGACAGATGGTCGCCCTCCCGGTGATAGAACAAGTTGCCGGATTCGAGAATCACCGTGTCCTCCCCCTCTCTTCGGACCTCAGATAATCCTATAATATTCCAGCGCAACTTGTCTGTCTTGATAGTGCCTTCCATGTAAAGACTTCTGGGCCCATTCAATAATTTTGGTTTGGTTATTTACTTATTTCTCGTTGTTTTGTCTATTTCTGTCTTTTTAAATTAAGCGGTGTAAGCTGGTGATCATTTTGTGCAATCGCAATATGTAAAGTGGAGTTTTTAATATTAAAGTATGCTCGAAGATTGGAGATCTGTGGATTGTGTAGGTTCGTAATATCTATAAGACCTCTGCCTCCTACAATTCTAGACAGAGTCATTTTCTGTACACGGGACCGTGGGTGATGCTTTCTGTTTCGTCATTGTCGTATTTATTGAGCGTTGGATGTACTTAAGCTCCGAACTAGTCCAGTTTATCACTCCAAACGAATAAGGTAGTATCGATATGGCATACGTATTTATTGCTTTTATTGTATTTTTTGCATCAAGATGAGTCTTCAAAATCGAGTTTAGTCTGTGTTTAAATTGTTGACTTAATTTCATTATAATGTAGTAATTTCGATCGTTGATAGCCTAAATATTTATACATCTCCATTTCATCAAATGAGCTTGTTATTTGTCCCGTTTGAGTTTAGTAGTCATGACTATACACCTGATCTAATTTGACCGAATTAATTTTGCATTTTTCAACCCCAAGCTCCATGCCCATACCAAGTGAGACGCTTTCAGTTATGTTTGTAAGTTGTTTTAAATCTTCCAAGTGCAGTGCAAGTTTCCAAGTGGTTTATGTGATATACTTTTGATGGTGATTCCGTACTATCTGTATATTCAAGTAGATAACCAATATTGGATGCATTTAATTGACTAGATAGTGGGTTAAATGCCAAGCAAAATAAAAGTGGGATTCTTTAAGCCCACTTATGTTTTGCTGTACCTTGAAATATGCCACGCTTAATTTTTATAATATCTGTGTCTATAGTTTGTGTGTGAGTGTTGATACTTAATCGCGTAGTCCAATTATTCATGATAGTAATTAAAAATGTTATTATTGTTGGATTAATCCGGTAAATATCTAGAATTTTCAGGAGCCAAGTATGAGGGACAGAATCAAAAGCTTTTTTGTAGTCTATGTACGTAGTATATAAATCTTTCTTTGTTAGTTGCACTTGTTTTAATATCACAGAGTCTATTATAAATTGCTCTTTGCACCCTCGACCAGATCTGCGGCAACCTTTTTGTTGTTCATCTAAAATGTTATTTTTTTTTCAACATGAATGTAAACAAGTTGGCTAATGCAACCTACGATAATTTTATAAACTGTTTGCAGGCATGTTATGGGTCTATATTTAGCTGGATTAGTGAGGTTATTTCGATCTTTAGGTAACATGTAAGTTATTATGGTTGTAATATATTCAGGTAATATTTGTGGATCTTGTATGAATTTGTTGATGTAATTGTAGAAATGTATGTACATATGTACATTTTTTGTTTATTATTATTACTGTTTAATTAAATATTTTATTAATCATGAAAGAAAGCAAATAATATATTTATAATAAAAACTTTAAAATATTAAATAATAAAAAAGTCCGTAAAAATAACATACCTAACAATATTGATGTAGATTTACTTTAAGATTTTATTAAGTAAAATTTCATCAACAAATGTGTATTTTTGTGCGTCCAGTTGTTCGACCGCATGTGCATGGCGCTAGGCGGACGGGCCGCAGAGGCGATCACTTTCAACTCAGTCACTAGCGGCGCTCAGAACGACCTCGACAAAGTCACCAAGATCGCGTACGCACAGGTAATACAGCCATCATCAATCTTCTTTTTCAGGAACCGCTAAAAGTCTACTGCTGAATATGGGTATCTCTCGTTGTAAGGAAGATGTATGTCTTGATCGTCACGCTTGACGGGCGTATTTTATACGTCATCACCTGGTTATTTTGAACTTTTTTACCGGGATATTTTATACGTCAATACTTAGGTATTTTATACGTCAGTACCCGGGTATTTTAAACGACATTACCTGGGCATTTTATATGTCAGTCAAGTTTTAACAATAGATTACCATTACCATTCATGCTGCTGTATTACAATCTGAAAAGTAGCAGGAGTCAGTATACAGTATATCCCGTCTCCGCAGACCGCAAAACGTATAAATAGAACCACCACGACCGCTCGTGCAGTCGATCTAAACGTCGCAGGTACATCACACAGCAACACTACACCCACACAAATTGGGATAAACACTATTAGAATTACGTAGACGGGCACGACGAGTTCCAGCACACACCGCGTACATACCGTACACGCGCGTACCTGGTCGGTTCTCACCGCCCAGAACATCGACCGACACGAGCTGAGCAGTCAGAGGCGGGGGTCCGCACTTCCCCCCTCGGACAGCGGTTAGATAGCTCATTAACGCCTGAAATGGCGACGTAATTATTTACAATACCAAATCATAAACCATTATATCATCATCATCCTCACGTTCATTGCCTTTTCCTTTTTTAATTAGTTTTATTAGGCCTTTTTTTTAACATGGGGAAATGCCTACGCATACCCGCCTCGCGGGGGAAAGGACGGGTTATGTCGGACTCGCACCGACTAAAACCCCATGGTGTTCTACCTTCGTCGCATATTGGCAGGGCAACGGGAACGCTTTCGCACACTTCCGCGGCCCCACCAGCGACTGCCGCCCCATGGCAGCACCTCATCGGGAAAGGAATATTCCTCCCTGTTCTCCTTCCCAAGTAAGGCGCACCAGAACACATGGCACGCCTTCCTCCACGGCCTCCAATTACATCTGCGCAACAGACGCCCCCGCGTCCGATGCGCGAAGGCCATGGGGCCAGGAAAAACGAGCACTTAGAAGTACTAGCCTTCCCGACCCCAGCGGCGGATCTGGTCTATGACTCCGCCGCCAACCAAGATTCGGCTGCGGAGGATAGGGAGAGCGGCGCCTCGCAATACCGACAATCCTCTCCCCCCGCAGCCCCATCACCACCGCATCAACGGTGCGGCCCCGTTTGAGTCGCGGAGGATAGGGCGAGTGGCGCATCGCCATACCAACACTCCTCTTCCTCCGCGACTCCACCTCGGCTGCAGCGGTAGGTGGGGAGGACACACCTCTCACCGCAGTCCACCAACACACATCCGAAGTGGGCTTCCCAAGCCCACTCGGAGTGGCCACCTCGGGCCGGCCCTCCACCTCGGACCAGCCATATGGGTTCCTCTTTGTTTCGCCGTGGGTGACCAAGCCACGGCTTCTAAGCCCCCCCGCCACGACAAGGCGGGAACCCGTTCGGGGGGGGGGTTTATTAGGCCTGAGTCAGATGAAGCTATAAGAGTCGCATAGACTAACTGCGCAAACATCTCGAAAATAGATGATATACAGTATAATTACAGGCTCTAATACATTCCATCTTAGTTCTCAGAGATGACAACAGTGTCGGCTGCAGATGCCCATAGGCTGCAATAGCCACTTACCAGCGGATGGGCTGTAAGTTCGTTTCTCTCTTCGTTGTTTTGAAAAATTCTTCTATTTCAATACAATTGTTTGTTGTTCCCACAGGTGAAAGTGTACGGCATGTCGTCAGAAGTGGGCCTTATATCATTTCCGGATAAGGAGCGCGGCAAAAGTCCGTTCAGCAACAAGCTGAAGAACCTCATCGATTTGGAAGCGAGGAAGCTAATCGCCAACGCTTACTATAGGACCGAAGAGATCCTTAGGAATAATGAAGACAAGCTGAAGAAAGTAAGTTCTTCTGATTACAAGAGCCTTATTGTTATTTTAAAACCAGTTTGCCAATTATGGTGCAGTACTTGACAAAAGTTTGATTCCGGTTAGTACAGGTTCTAAAATACCAATTCCATATCACGCAGTTTTCATACTTTGGTATCATTTATAATTCGATAGAATTACTTTGATCACAAAATAGGATAAAAAAGTGATGATTTTATTTTGAAGTACATTTTATGTCCAAGTGGTCGAAATTCGATTCGACTGTAAATCATAAAACATTTATGTTTGTTTAATAAGCAAGATCTGTTTATTTTTCAAGTCACTGTTCCAATTACACGTTAAGGTAAAAAACACAGAATATCTAATATTAAAAATATAAAGGGTGTGTTCCGATATACACTGTGATCACTGTAAGGTGTGACGTCAATTAAGTATACTGTGAAGCCGTTCCTCTTTAGTTTGTGGGTGCGCAAAAGTGATTAAAGGTATGGCGGGGCGGACGATTAAGTGGACTGTACTAGCGTGGTTCAAAAGGAACCAAAACAAAATGGCTGACGTGGCACGCGGCGAACTTTGTACAATATAATTGTTTTGAAATTAATTTACGGCGTTGGCTGACATGACGGGAGATGTGCTGCTGAAGATACAGGAACAACAGATAAAACAGCTCGTAATAAGGATGGGCATTTACCTGGAGAAGCGGCAAGCGGCTTCTCTCTTGACGACTGTGCGGGCATGACGAAAATTGTATTGCATTGCGACGACGGTGGTGGCGCAACGTCTTTTTGTAGCTCAGCTTAGCTTTGAGCGCGCCTCCCATTGGAGGAGCAAAGATGCGCCCACCGGTATCTACTAGCTCCCTGCTACCAGGTAGGCCCGTGCGGGGAAGGAACGGAAGCGAGGGGGATATGTCAACCAACCCAACTAACAAAGCGGTGGTTTATGACTCATATTTCGCTAGGGAACTGCAGCAGTGTACTGGCAGTCCATAACGTTACAAATTTTTCACCAGTGTGAGCACTGAGCAGTGCCCGCAGTGTATATCGGAACATACCCATAATAAACTCTTTTTTGACTAGACATACACTCTACAGACTATTGAAAAGGAAATATTAGAAATCACACAGAATTCACTGCTCATTCAGTCAATCTGCCACTGATTATTTCGTTAGCAACACTTTAAAATTCTTTGGCTACAGTCTCTACTCTGTACAACTTTTTGACCACAGACTATTAAGTATTTGACATTGGCAGTATGAACGTAAACTATGAATGTTTTATTTAATTTAATTGTAACACATAGATAAATTTTAACTTTCTGCACTCCTCGATAGCCAAATCTCACACTTCTCCGAGCCCACATTATGGTTGAAAAGGAGTAAAAGACTTTCCGTTCACGAAATATATCTACATAAATACATGAGATTATTCCAATTCAATAAAAATGCATGTTTTCGTTCAGATATTGTTGATATTAACGCCCAGTAGTGTCGTAAGAGGAATTAGAGGCAGCATCTTTCTGACAATAACTCATTATATATTATATAACTAAATAAAACTGCGCTTGCCAACTAAGTAAGGCAATCTGTTGATGAGGCCTATTTTCAGCAGTGGACTTTGATCGGTTGTGATCATGATGATTTGATGATAAACTTATGCTATTATTTTGCGAACTAAGATAGATAGATAGATAATTCTTTATTGTACACCAAATCAATACATAAACGAAAGAAGAAAAAAAAATAGTGTCACAATGGGCGGTCTTATCGCTAAAAGCGATTTCTTCCACACAACCTTTCCAACACTACAACTAAGGTTTCCTATCGGTTTACAAGAGTCCGGAGAAGAAAAAAGAAGAGTCCGGAGAACCAGAGCCCCGTTTTACTGGTAACGAGACATTACATCTTAGCCCTCAGGGTTGACTATGTATCTGCGTTTAGACTTTTCATCGTGCAAACATGTAGAATCCCAGCATCCACTTAGCATCAGGTGGACTGTGTGCCCGTTTGTCAGTCTTATTGTAGTATTACTTAATGTCATATAATAATATAAAAATTAATCAGTTCTATTAATTTCATTTGAAATTCCGTTTCGCAGCTCGCAGAGGAACTTTACAAACGGGAAACCTTGAACTTCGACGATGTGAAAGCAATCCTCGGTCCCCCTCCGTTCCCGAGGAAGAAGTTCATAGATCCCGTCGAGTTTGAGAATAGTCTGAAGAACATGGAGAAGGCTGCAACACCCGAGGAAAGTAGCACGCTTGGAGGTTCGTCAGCGAAACCGGAGACCCAGCCCGGTATAGAACAGTTTGTTTAAAATGTGTTCGAACAGTGTAAATTTATATTGATTACAATATATTGTAAGTGCAGCAGGTTCCAAGTTATACCGTCAAATTGAAACTTTTTCAATTGACATTTAGCAATACTAGTAAATGACGTCATTTTCTGTAGTTGAATAAACATTACTATTATTACTTGTATATTTTAAATAAAAAATTTTTACCTTATAATGGACGCTAATTAAATAATAGATACTACCGAAAATAGCAAATTATAATAATTATGATGTATTAATTGATAATAATAGTGTTGTACTACTTATTTATTTATTTATTAGGATTACCAACAGAAATTACAACAGTAATACAAAGATCATTTTCATAACATATTGAGCACATTATAATTGTATTTCTTTTTATAGGTAATCACAACATGCATTGATTATTTGGTAAATAAAAGAATTATACGAAAAAAAACTTGAATAACATCATTCAATAAACACTTTTATTAAAAAGAAATAAAATTATTTAACAATATTATAGATAACTTCATTATCATATTAAATTACATTAACCACATTATAGAAAACAAAAACAATTCCAATATTATACCCGGATTATATGTCATACACACTAACAAATAAATTAAAGTTCATTAATAAAGGTTTTCATGTAATATTTATGTACATATTTATCATATCATTAATGGTATTAAAATAGTTAAATGCAGACTGAAATTCACTTTTTTTTTAAATGAAACAAAGTAGAAATTAAAATCTAAACTTATCACACAATCCTACTGCTCGCAGTATAGTGCCAAGAATACTGCGTTTTCTCGTTGAATGGCAATACTTAACTTTTGAGCGTGAAAAGAACCAATCCTCTTTTGCCCAGCGGCCAGCGGCGGATAAAGTTCCTATAGAAATTTAATGCGAATAGATCTTGTGGGATCGATAGTCTTTACAGCGAATGTCACAAATATATAGTCATCTCTCAAAGACACATATTCTATCAACATCACCATCATATAATTTTAGATTTTCCTATATCTTCGACGGACAAAATTTTGAAGAACAATATTTTTATTGGAAATAGCTATCAGAGAATCGCCTTGTCTTTAATACACTAGATTAAGTGCAACTTAAATAACAATTATTAACTACTCCCAAATTATCAGTATTTTCCTCAAAATAATTCTTAGAATAAAATGTATAGTAATGGAACCATTGTGACTGTTTGCACTTTTATACAATTCGAAGCTCTTTGCATCCATAATATCTACTGTTTAAATTGTGTATGTTGTTTAGTTGTTAGTGTTGTAAAAATAAATAATATGATCAAGCTTGTGTCTTATTATTTAAGGTATGCTTTGTACTAGAACTTCATGAAAGCACTCGAAATTCAGTTATAAAATAAAATGAATTCTATGCAGTATAACAAAACGCTACTACACAATATAACGGTTATTCTTATCTGTTCTTAACAAAACATTTAAAGTGAAATCATGTTATGATAATGTTACGAGCTTGAGGTTCGTGACAATAAAAATTGCCGATAGAATTACCTAAATTAACACTTTAATTCACTTTACACTAATTAAAGTCAAAAACACTAATAATTAATCACACTGATTCACTTTATTCCGCTCCGAAGCTTCGCTTGTCTCTCCAACTTCAATACTTCCCCGATCGCACATTGCAGCGCCTATAAATACACCTTAGCACCGAAAAATTAAGAACATTCAAGTAAATACGCGCGCCAATCGACTAAGCATCGAAAGTTCGAGTGTCGGGCTTCTAGAAGCTTAGTTCTTCGTTTCGACAACAGATGGCGCTGTCGGTTAAAAATTTGTCATGTCATTTTCTGGAAAGCTCCTCGCTCTGTTACCCGACACTAGATGGCGCTAGTGCCATGAGATGAGATGTCAACTTAGCCGCGCAACACTGCCCCCTCCTAAGACATGCTCGTCCCGAGCATTATCGGCCTCATAATAACGCGCCAGGCGATCCACATGGACGATCTTAGGAGTCCCTCTTGCGCCTTTCTGTATCCGGTAGGTTACATCGTTGATCCTGGTCACAATCCAGTACGGGCGGTCCCATTTAGCTTGAAGCTTAGGAGATTTCCCTTTGCTGCGTACTGGATTGTGCAACCACACTAGCGAACCTTCGTCGAACCCTTTGTTGTTCATTTTGTGGTCATACCGGGTTTTCATCTTTTCAGACATTTGCTGGCCCGATTGTCTGACGTGCTCGTAAATGTCATTCATTTTGTTCCGCAAGTCATTTGCATAATCGGTTATACTGCGTGGGGCATCAGGTGGTATCCCGGTGATCAGGTCTGCAGGCAGCCGTAATTCTCTCCCAAAGTTTGCGAAAGCTGGTGTCACTGATGTACTTTCGTGAACAGCGCTTCGATATGACAACAAAAACGGTTGTATGTGCTTGTCCCAATCTCGTTGCCGATTGTCTACAACTTTTGCTAGGTACCTCTCCAATGTCTGATTAAATCGTTCTACCATTCCATCAGATTGCGGGTGATAAGAAGTCGTTCTTGTTTTAAGAGTACCCATAACTCGGCAAGTTTCCTGGAATATTTGAGACTCAAAATTCCTTCCTTGATCGCTGTGAATCTCTAAAGGTACATCAAAACGACAGAAGACTTGGCACCGACGCAACCAATCCACTTCTTCAGAAGTACCAACCAGCGTGCTTTTTTCTATAATCTGTTCCCGGTCACAAAGGTTCAGCACACGTACTCCTGAGATGTCGGTGATTCTGACCAAGGTTCGAGCTACTTTCCATGAAAGGTCATTGTTCACCCTTTCCACAAGTACACAACGGTGAGCTTGCCCAGCGTTTCGAGGGAGACTAACCGGAACAATCGTTTCCGATCTCGGCGGAAGAACAATCTTCTTAATGCTGTACACGTTACCCCTGGTAACGCACCTTCCATAAAAAGTTCCTCCTGTCCACATTTCAAAACACCTTTTAACGTCGATCTCAAAACAATTATTCCTCATAAAGTCTAGGCCTAGGATGCAGTCGTCCATTATATCAGCCACGATGACATTATGCAGGTAGATCACGTTGCCTAGCTTCAACTCCATCTCCTTCTCTCCACGGACGGGTATACGCTGACCGGTGGCTGTTACCAAATTAATGCGTTCTCGGTTGTATGCGGAGTCCCCAAGGAACTGACTTATAAGTTGGGAACTAACAACCGTACGAGAGGCTCCAGTGCCTATGGTCAGTTTACACGGCATTCCGTTGACCTCGCCCTTGATGATTAGACTGTTCCCATCATGGGTTTGTGAGATCGAGATCTTTGGGGCTCTTTTAACATCAGCCAGCACCCGCCCCGCAGTTCTGGCTTTTACTCGTTTCCCTGCTGCTGCTGGGCGGTGCTGTTCGCGGCACTACCCTCCTGAGATCGTCCACCTTCCCTTTCTAGGGTTCGCTTAGGGCAGCTGGATCGAAGATGGCCCTTTTCCCCACAGCCATAGCACCTAGGGCTGTATCCTTTATTGCGGTCGCGTACCGTAGCTGCTGCAATCTCCCTGACGCGATGGGAACGATGATCCTGCCGCACGGCTTCCACCTCTAGTGCATGGGCCAAGGCGTCCTTAAGCGTGTCATGGTGCCCGAGTCTCACAGCAGCTCTGACTTCAAGGTCGCGGATGCCGTCGATGAATGCCTGAACCAGGTTCCCTTCAATGAGCGCAGGTACAGACTGGTATGCTTTTCGAACCATCTTCTCCACCTCAAGGGCCCACTGCTGCAGGTTTTCGTTGCTGCGTTGCACGCGATCTTTAAGTTGCGTGCGAAAGACGTGTTCCAGGTGAGTGTCGCCATATCTCGCCTCCAAGGCCTCAAGGAGCTGCTCGTAGGTCACTTTCTTACCGAGAGCTTCCAACACAGTTAAGGCTTGGTCACGCTGGCCTAGGGTGAGTGCAGTCACGGCTTGGCTTTTATTCCAGCCATTCGCCTCCATGACGGCCTCGAACTGGATTTTGTAGGCTGACCAGGAAGAGGTCCCGTCGAACGGCGGCACTTTGAATCCACGTAGCGAAGGTGTTGTAGCTACTACGGGAGCTGTTGTTGCATCCCCAAGTTTGAGGTCGTCCAGCGTTTTCTTCACGTCAGCCATTACGTTGTCAACCCGATTGTTTACTTGGTCGATTCGGGTTTCAGCTTCCGACAGGCGGTTGTCATGTTGAGCAACCTTATCCTTCACCTCCCGTATCTCTTTTCCGAAGGTAGCGTGAAGGTCCTTCATGAGGAGCATCTGCTCTTCCTTATCGCGTTGGAGTTGCTCTTCTAAACGACTGGCCTGTTCCTCCTGCCGGCGGGCCTGTTCCTCCTGTCTGCCCCGCAGCTGCTCTTCCAAACGACGGACCTGTTCCTCCTGTCGGCGGGCCTGTTTCTCCTGTCGGCGAGCCTGTTCCTCCTGCTGCTCTTTCAACAGACGGGCCTGTTTCTCTCGTCCGCGCTGCAGCTGCTCCTGTAGCATCGCCATCAGAGAACCTAAGTCAGGTGCTGCAGATGTAGGAGCTAATGACGGGCCCGCACCCTCCGTGGCTGGCAGTTGGCCCTCCGACGTCTGCGCCGTTGCACCACCAAATCTCCGCTGGTCCGTCTCATGCTGGCGTTGACTGCGGGTACGGACACCCTCCGTTTCCTCCTTAGGTAAAATCGGCATGATTTTATCCCACTTCTGACACCAATTGTTACGAGCTTGAGGTTCGTGACAATAAAAATTGCCGATAGAATTACCTAAATTAACACTTTACTTCACTTTACACTAATTAAAGTCAAAAACACTAATAATCAATCACACTTATTCACTTTATTCCGCTCCGAAGCTTCGCTTGTCTCGCCAACTTCAATACTTCCCCGATCGCACCTTGCAGCGCCTATAAATACACCTTAGCACCGAAAAATCCAGAACATTCAAGTAAATACGCGCGCCAATCGACTAAGCATCGAAAGTTCGAGTGTCGGGCTTCTAGAAGCTTAGTTGTTCGTTTCGACAACAG